GGCACTGATGAGGATGCACCAGGTGCATAAAAACAGGATGAGAAGCAAAAACGCCAAGAGAAGCCCAGGAAGTCAAAGACCTCCAGGGCTTGAGACCTTCAACAGGTCACTCCCCACCCCCCACACACGCTTTCTCCAGTGTCCACATATCTAACCCACAGGAAGCCTTCCAAGACTTATGGCTAAAGAGCTGCTGAGCATATGTATTGTTTTAATCTCATCACGTAAGATTTTCCTCTCCCTGCTCTTTCCAGACTGAAGGGGCGAATCTGGACGTGACCTTCCCGGAAGGGCTGAGATGGGTGTGAGCCTCTGACAGGGACACTTTGCGGCTTTCCTCACTGGGGGCACAGAGGAAGCAATGTGTGAACAGCAGGATTCGGTGTGCTAACACTCACACACGTGCACACACCCTGGGAGCCCCAGAGCCTCGCAGGACGAGGGGCTTCAGGAGCAGACTCCAGTCAGGAGGAGCAGAGGGGCTCCGGACCGAAGCGCAGAGGGGCCACGGGCAGAGGGGAGGGGTCTGAGGAGGAGCAGGCGCGCCAGGTGAGCCTCGCCCTGTCCCGGGCAGAGCGAGGACGGGAGACCCAGGGGGGCGGGCGGCCGGGGCAGCTGAAGAAACGAGGGCATCCGGGTCCCTTCAGAAGAACAGCGTCACAGTGCTCACTCCCCAGAGCCGAAGGAGGTGACAGTCCCCCCGCCGCCTGCCCAAGGCTGGGCTCCAGTTTTAACTTCGGGGCCAGAGGAGTAAAGAGCTATTTCTAAACATGGGCCCGTTTTGCCTTATTTTTTCACTTCAGTTCAGTTCATTTCAGTTGCTCAGTCATGTCTCACTCTTTGCAACCCCATGAACCGCAGCACGCCAGGCCTCCCTATCCATCACCAACTCCCGGAGTCCACCCAAACCCATGTCCATTGAGTCGGTGATGCCATCCAGCCATCTCATCCTCTGTCATCCCCCTTCTCCTCCTGCCCTCAAATCTTCCCAGCATCAGGGTCTTTTCAAATGAGTCAGCTCTTTGCATCAGGTGGCCAAAGTATTGGAGTTTCAGCTTCAGCATCAGTCCTTCCAATGAACACCCAGGACTAATCTCCTTTAGGATGGACTGGTTGGATCTCCTTGCAGTCCACGGGACTCTCAAGAGTCTTCTCCAATACCACAGTTCAAAAGCATCAATTCTTTGGCACTCAGCCTTCTTTATGGTCCAACTCCCACATCCACACATGAACACTGGAAAAACCATAGCCTTGAGTATACGTACCTTTGTTGGCAAAGTAATGTATCTGGTTTTTAATATGCTGTCTAGGTTGGTCATAACTTTTCTTCCAAGGAGCAAGCGTGTTTTAATTTCATGGCTGCAGTCACCATCTGCAGTGATTTTGGAGCCCAGAAAAATAAAGTCAGCCACTGTTTCCACTTATTTCTTCATCCCCTTATAAAACCCTAGACACGGGGCAGGGGTGCTACGCGCTGTGGGCGCACACCTGCAAACCCAAACTCTGCAGCAGCTCCCCCACGGCCCTGCAGCGCCAGCTGGGGGCGCTCTGCTCGCTCTGAGCCCCGGATGAGAGACCGCGTCCCTGCATCGAACCACGAGGCCAGACCCCCGGCAACATCAGCGACCAGATTACCCTCCAGCATCAGGGTCTTTGAAAATCTTTCCTTTTCTTCTCTCCTCGGGCTGTAGAGGCTTGTGCTTAAAGTCTCAGAAATCATGACTTTTCTCTGTAAATAAGATGGGAGGGAATTTCTGACCAGAGAACGCTGCCAGTCCACGGGGGTTGGGGAAACTGGGAGACTGGCCTGAGGTTTCCAGGGGCTCCCTCCACTGAACCCAGAAACCTTTTCTCCTCAGGGTTCCCTGCACTTCTGCAGACTTTCAACCAGGCTGCTCCTTTGGAGTTGAGGATTATCTCTGCTCAAAAGAATATGGGGGCTGCCCTGGTGGCTCAGTAGTAAAGAATCTGCCTGCCAGTGTAGGAGACACCGGTTTGATCCCTGATCCAGGAAGATTCAACGTACCGCAGAGCAACTAAGCCCGTGTCCCACGACTACTGAGCCTGTGCTGGAGGAGCCACAAGTACTGAGCCCTCATGCAGCAGCTCCTGAAGTCTGCACGCCCCGGAGCCCGCACTCTGCAGCAAGAGAAGCCGCCACAGTGAGAAGCCCGGGCACCGCAGCCAGAGAGGAGCCCCACCTCAGCACCGAGGGAAAAGCCTGTGCGGCACCGAAGGCCCGGCACAGCCAGAAACAAACAAACACATAAATACATAAAAGATTTTAAGAAAAGGAATGTCAACCTCCCTTCGCATGTGGTTCCTGCAATCCAGGTACCATTAGGTTATTTCTCAGGACTTTTCTGTTCCTTTCATCTGGAAGGCGACAGGAGGTACAGCATCTGGGGGTTCCACAGGATCTGTGACTTCTTTTTCCTCCTCTCTGATTGCTCTGGGGTCTGCTTAGTTCAAGCCACAAACCCACAGACACTGGGTGTCTTAAGCATTCACTGTGGTATGAAAAAAAAAAAACTAAAAAAATTTTTTTTTAATTTCTGGGGGGGAAAAATGTTTGGAGTAGTTTTATGCTCTTAAATTAGATTTCAGTGTTGCCAATCCTTCCATCCTCTGCCCTGGTCTTTCTCATGCCCTTCAGCGCCTCTCCGAGCACTGGAACAGAACGTTCAGTGGCCACACCAGGCAGCAGGTTGTTAGCGTGCCCACCACCCACGACAGGCCAGGGTCCCCTTCCTTCCCTTCATGACCCTGATAAGAATTGCCACAAACCCACCTGTGTTCCAGGGACAACAGGATGCTGCCCCAGGTCATTTCATTGTCTTTCCTCAATATTCCTCAGCCTCCACATGGATAAAATAAGGTTGATCCAGAAAAATCTCTAACACCCCTTGCATGCTTCTGCTCCGTCACGTCCAACTCTGGGGACTGTGGTCCACCAGGCTCCTCTGTCTCTCCACACAAGAATACTGGAGCGGGTTGCCATGCCCTCAACCAGATTGAACCCACGTCTCCTGCACTGCAGGTGTAGATTCCTTACCCCTTTCAACTCTATAATCCCATGATCTTAAAACATATCCCCCATCCTCAGCTCAGTTGGATGTCCTGACACCTTCATGTGCTTCCAAGTACTTCTCTAGTGAGTTCAGTCTGGGCAGTTTGGAGATTTGTATGATAAATAAACCATCCTGTACACAGACAGGAAGCCCCAATCACAGATCACTGAATGTCAAGGACCAAAGGCAACACTGTCCATCGGAAAAGAACTCGCAAACCTTTTTAACTGGACAGGCAGGATGGGCCGATTCCTTTTTCACCTTTTTAATAGCTCACACACTTCTTTTTCTCTCGGATTAAAAAATAAAGCCAACTCATAGCTTAACTTTTGAGCATATTAAAATGTGAGTAAAGTCAACACACACAAAGACGAGGTGGAGCAGAGCTCAGCGGGTCAGATGGCCAGTGCGCCTGTTGTTACATTCCCGTGGCAAAGAGCCCTCCGCTGACGCTCTGCACCTGGCTCCTGGCTCGGAGCAGGTGGCCTGTGATCAGCCAAAATGGAACAAACTTCTGAGCATAATTCACAGGCAACCCCAGCAACAGACGAGGCTTTCTCAGGTATTAGAGTCTGTCCTGGGCAAGCCTGTGCGTGTTACCATCTGTGTGGAATACTGGGGCCAACAGAGGACTCAGAACCGAATCACAGACGGGACCAGAGGTGGCCGACAGCCTCCCTGTTAGTAGCTCAGCCATGTCTGATTCTTCGCGAGTCTATAGACTATAGCCCACCTGGCTCCTCTGTCCATGGAATTCTCCAAGCAAGAACACCAGAGTGGGTTGCCATGCCCTTCTCCAGGGGATCTTCCCAACCCAGGGACTGAACCTGGCAGATTCTTTACTCTCTGAGCCACCCGGGAAGCTCTTTTAGGGAACCATGAACCCGGCCTCTCACCCTCTTGGTCCCCACCCAACCTTCCTCTTTTATCCCGTCTATGGGATGGTCATCCTCAGAGTTCTCTCCTGGCCTCTATCTTCTCTTCTTCTCCCTCTATAGTCTCTCTCCAGCAAAATAACCCACTTCTAACACTTGAAACAAACAAACAACAACAACAACAAAAAACAGAACAATTGGAGCAAGTGGTTGGAGCACACGATTTAAGCGACAGTGGCCACAGAGGTCTGGCACGTGCCATCCAGATATGTCCACTGCCCCCGCCTCCCCGCAATCCCTTTTTCCGTCACAGGTATGACTTTGCCTGTCACAGCTCAGATTCTGCTCCACACGATGTGTTTTTAGCACTGGGTAATTCCCCTGCCTCCAAGCTCACCCTCTCCTCCACTGATCCTGCTTCTCAGTGAACAAGGGAGGCCATGGCCAGAGCAAGGGCCCACACCCACGAGTATACAGATGTTCATAGCCGGGCAGCTTCAGGGGTCATCTGTCCAGTGAAATGGATGTTGGATTATTCAAGCCAACAGGAGCATCTATAGCACCTGATGAAAAGGCAGCAAGAAGCCCATGAAGCCAAGAAGGAACCGCCTACGATGTCAGCCAAGAGCAGTGAGAGCCCAGCCGGTTCACCAACCGTCAGGAGCAAATGAAGGGCGGCTCGTGTTCAGTAAAGTTCATTTTCCAAAAAGACCTGCACTATGTTTGTGAAAGCCATGGTGATAAATTTGCTGGATTTAGCCCACATGGCTGCCCAGAGCCGAACAGAACAAACAAGATAATAGGAAATTCTCCTCCGAGCCCTGGGTAGTCCTGCCAGGGCTCACAGGACTACAGGTCTGTTCATTAGTAAAGCCCAAAGTCACACAGAATGAACTGGTTAGTCTTCCCATTAACAATGTGTGCCCAAACAACAGAAGTGCAGGCATTAAAAATACTCAGCTCAGAGATACTCGTCCACAGAAAATAACAGTTTTAAAAACACTCAGTTCAGAAACATTCATCAAAATAAAATAATAGTCTCCAGGCTACTTACATCTGTGTCGGGTCCTTTATCTGCCCCCGGACAAGAAAAAGTAACAAATTCATGGCACCTCTTGTGAACCACAAAACAGCAAACTGGTGGAGAGAAAAGAAAACTAAAATTAGAAGAGTGGATTGAATATACAAGGCTTTGTCCTCCAAACAGGGCTACCTGCTGTCAGCAGTCAAATTAATTTCACTACAGACAGAATCTCATAAACAGCAATCAGACAGCATTTCACTGAAGGCTTGGCCTCATTTGGTATTGCTTGGATTCCCGGATAACAGAACCACAGAATGCCCGCACGGACACGGCACAGGAGACCTAAAGCTTAACTTGTCTCCTCTAAAGCTGAGGAGAGAGGACAGGGGTGGTAAGACCCTTCTCCTGAGGTATAAACCAGGAAGCTACAGGTAAAGCACTCTGCACTCCTCTCCCCACCACCGACACACTCAGATGTGTAAATGTGGATAAACATTAGACCCTGTGAGTAAGATATAAGGAGAGTAACTTATTACAAATAATACATGGGTATCACCAAGAACTTCCTTAGCAGAATTCTGAACTTCAAGAACTCCTTAAGACACAAACCAGATCTACAGAAAACAGCCCTTTGAAGTGGAGAAAAGTTGGAAAGCATCCTCTCTCTTGAATCTACCAGCTTGGGGGGGGGGGGTGTCACCCACAGATACTCCAAACCACTACGCAGCAAGCGTTTTCCAAGCAACAGGGTTTTCATAAGTCTTCCTGAAGATGAATCAATAAAAAAATCATGAGTTATAGAAACCAGTAAGTCGGATTTTTGTGAAAAGTGTAACATGGAGGACACACAAAAGATATAAATATATGTCCTAGGCCATCCTCCCTCTAAAAGTGCAGCACCAGCTCCAGAGCGCACAGCCTACGGCTCTCTTGTTTTCTGCTGAACAATAAGCTGGGCTTCCCCCGTGGCTCAGACGGTAAAGACCCCGCCTGCAGTGCAGGAGGCCTGGGTTCCAACCCTGGGTCGGGAAGATCCCCTGGAGGAGGGAATGGCAACCCACTCCAGTATTTTTTTGTTTGTTTCTTTTTTTTTTTTTTTGAGGCTAATTACTTTACAATATTGTAGTGGTTTTTGCCATACATTGACATGGATCAGCCATGGGTGTACATGTGTCCCCCATCCTGAACGCCCCTCCCACCTCCCTCTCTATCCCATCCCTCTGGGTCATCCCAGTGCACTAGCTTTGAGTGCCCTGTCTCATGCATCAAACCTGGACTGGTGATCTGTTTCACATATGGTAATATAGATGTTTCAATGCTATTCTGTCAAATCATCCCACCCTCACCTTCTCCCACAGAGTCCAAAAGTCTGTTCTTTACATCTGTCTCTTTTGCTGTCTCACATATAGGGTCATCATTACCATCTTTTTAAATCCCACATTATGCGTTAGTATACTGTATTGGTGTTTTTCTTTCTGACTTACTTCATTCTGTATAATAGTCCAGTTTCCTCCACCTCATTAGAACTGATTCAAATGTATTCTTTTTAATAACTGAGTAATATTCCATTGTCTATATGTACCACAGCTTTCTTATCCATTTGTCTGCCGATGGACATCTAGGTTGCTTCCATGTCCTGGCTATTGTAAACAGTGCTGCGATGAACATTGGGGTACACGTGTCTCTTTCAATTCTGGTTTCCTTGGTGTGTATGCCCAGCAGTGGGATTGCTGGGTTGTACCGCTGTTCTACTTCCAGTTTTGTAAGGAATCTCCACACTGTTCTCCATAGTGGCTGCCACTCCAGTGCTCTTGCCTGGAGAATTCTGTAGACAGAGGAGCCTGGAGGGCTATAGTCCATATGGTCGCAAAGCGTTGGACACGACTGAGCACCTAACACTTTCACTTTCAGCTAAAACACAACATTCGCTGAGAAATCCTGTGAGTCCTACATGGAAGGCAGGGGCGGCCTCCCCAGACCCCGGCTGTCTTCTTCCGCTGCTGAGGCTGCGTCAGGAGGCAGAGCCGACTGAAGATGGCGGGAGAGGCTGGCAGTTTTCCTGAGAGCCGAGACCCCGAGGTCAAGGGGGCATTCAGAGGCCTGGCGGGGGCGCTCGGGACGTTTGTGCTCAGCACGAGCAGCCACTGAAGGGTCTGAACCCGAGGGACGAAAGCAGGGCTTCTGATGGGCCGACGGTGGCGACGGGAAGGGTTCACTGGGACAGGTCAGGGCCGTAAGGGCTGGGCGGGGGTGTTCTAGGTAGTCTAGGATTGAAAGTGATGGCCGTCACTGTTCGGCCTGTAAGAGATGGAAGCGTGAGATGCCATGGACACCGCAGAGGACCTGCCGGCTGAGCACAGACACCGTTTGTCAGCCTCCTGCACGGGCCACTCTGCCGGGTCATGTCACCTGCGTTGATGATCTCACCAAATCCTCACGCTACTTAATCTGCTCTGACGTCTGTATTTTATGGACGGGAAAGCATTGCACTGATCTCTGGTGTCTAGTCTGTATAAGCTCATGATGTTTGCAGACAGGAGAGGGGGTGGGAGAGACGAGTGGATGGATCGATGAACAGGGCAGACGGACACAGGTCTTCTGGACAGTCATCCCTCCGAGCAGAGGAGCCAGGAGTCAAACTAAGGTTTGCTGGACCCACGCCCCCTGCTCACCTCACACTGGTGAACAGGAGAGAAAAAGGTGATGAAGGGGATGCCGAGTCTGCACATGATGCCAGGGACATGCGTGCATGGAAAAATAGTTCTAAGTATGTAAAAAATATATAGAAGTGAATACAGATACATGGGTTGGTCAAAAGGTTCCTTCAGGTTGTGTGTGTGTGTGTGTGTGTGTGTGTGTGAGACAACCCAGAGGGTGAAGTTGTGGGTGTACTGTCAGGGAAGCAGGATAAAGGATGACTGCTTTCTTTTTAAACAGCTTTAAGATGGTCATAATACAAAGTCAATGCAAAAGTGTATCTTTAAAAAACAAAACCCTCAGGCTGGGCACAGCAGGCAGAACGGGGCACTTAGGCAGCCGTCCTCAGGAAGGTGGACGGCTCGCGAAGCCCTCCCTTCAGAACAGGGAAGCCCGGGTGAGGTGCAGGCCGCGGGCGCCCCTGGGGCGGGATCCCGCGGAGGCGCCCCCGGCCCTCGCCGCCCCAGTGCCGCAGCTTCCCGGGCTTGTCCGCTGCAGCTTCCCGGGCTTGTCCACCGCAGCGCCCCATCGCAGGCTCCTGAGGACGGATGGACGGCAGCGCGGATGCTCAGACCAGGCCCATCAGCCACGGTCTCCGACACGGCCTCAGCTCCACTCGCGGACTGAGGAAGACAATCCGCGGTTCACTACGGACACGCTGTGTGGAGCGGACACGGAGCATGCGGAGTCCCTGCTCGGCGCGCCAGCCTTCCTGCGCTTCCAGGAGCATCAGGTCCCTGCGGCCAGTGGGTGTCCGGGCCTACCAGTGCGCTCAGCTCTCCAGCGGGAACTGCACAGACTGTACCCCTGGAATCCCCAGTCCAGTCATATCCTGAAATCAGCCCCGCACTGAACAATATAATATGAAAGGGAAACAAAAGCCCCCAGATCATTTCCTCCCCAACTGCCTCGTAGTGACTGGACTCCCCCGGCAGGAGGGGAGAGGAGGTCCAGAGAGCTGCTCCCCCTGAGTTATCCAGGTGGGTTCAAGGACTCAGATCAAGATGAGATAAAGAAACGGAACCTGCGGCTCCCCCCTCGCCCCCCTCCTGGGGGGCGGGGGGCTGATTAGGGAGAGGGAGCAGGGAGACCCTCTCCATTCAAGCCTGCAGAGTTTGTTTGGAAAGATAAAAGGTTTTGGAAGTGCTTGCTGGTTGACAGTTGTACAATCTTGTGTATATACTAAGTCCACTGAGCCATACAAGTAAACATGGTTAAAATCGTAACTTTTAAGTTACATACACTTTGTTGTTGTTGTTGCTGAGTCGCTAAGTCACGTCTGACTCTTTGTGACCCCATGGACTGTAGCATGCCAGGCTCATGTAGCATGCCAGGCTCACAACAATATAATTTAAGTTATGCATCAACCTGGAGTGAGATTTATGAAGTTATAAATAAGGTACACAGACATGAAGTCTTGCTTATGTAGATTTACGGCTTTTTTTGTTCCCAGTGGACCTGGCTGCAAAACCAAGGAAGTATTTACCTCCATTTCATTAGGTTCTACATAAAGTCCATGCCAGATTAGAGGGGAGATGCGGGGAAAATTGAGTTTTCAGAGCCAAGGACTCACACGATCTCAGAGGATTAGAAATGGGCTCCTCCGACCTTCACATCTCTGTGCAGAGTCAGCATCAGCAGCAGCGATGGAAACCAGGGCCTCACACCCAGAGCCTGGCTCTCCACGCAACCCCCGGGACTGTCTGTTACCTCTTTACATGCAAAACAGGGTCATCCTGCTTACACATCACGTGGATCACAGGCTTGTTGAGGGGAGAAAATACATACTTAGGTATCACCTTCCATTTTGTTTAAACAATAATTTCCTTTCACCCTCAAGTCTTAAGTCCATATCATTTCAAATTCAGCTCATAGTGACATAAAATGGAACATGTGCATAAAAGTCCCGTTGTCCAAAATTAATGGGGTAAAAGCCATTATGTAACAAACCTGCAATTCAAAAAAGGAGCCTACTAAATTTAATAGTTTGACTTCATTTAGAGCGGAAGACAGGCAGCCAAGCTTCTGAGCGCTCCTTTTTTAAATACATAAATGGCTGCCATCATGTGAGATGGTTTTAATTAAATCTAGCTTAGCTAGAAGGGATTAATGAAAGGTAACGTCACATCAGAACACAGTGAAAGGAAAACCTCTAAGGCGAGCGAACTGCTTTCAGCTTTGCAGGGAAAGTAACGAAAAACTGAGCCTATATTCTATTCGCATGTTAAAAGAAAATTATTGGTTTCAGGTTTGTAACAATGAAAACGGTCTTCTTGTGTGATGCATGTTAAAGTTGTATGAAAACAAGCCAAATCAATGTGCTTTATCACACAGTGTGATATGCCATTCTGCAGCCAGCATGCTGATTCTGCCCTAAGCCTTTGTGCACATTCTCCCTAGTAAACCCTGTCAAAAC